CATCCGTAAGGAAACGTCAACTAGGTTACTTTTTTATGTTTTATGCTAATAACTCGAGAAAGAAAACCAGTTCTTACAGAGAAATAAATAGCGTTCTATTTTAAGTGTATTCTTCCTATTGTATGCATTTATGCAAGTAGAATTTTCAACCGTTGCGGACAGAGCGATTCTGTAGTTTTCAACAAAAGTTATTCCAGGGTAATTCTCCGGGGTAATTACGATTCATATTTACTCCAGATCGCAGAATTATCATCGCGTGGGAGAAACTTTGTAGAAAGAAAATGAAACCACCGATATTAAGCGAGCAGTTATAGGTCTTTCAGCGGAACACCAATTTTTATTAACGCGCGAACAATTTCCGCCGATAGTTGCCCGGTAATTTCATCTTACCGCTTGCTATAAATCTATGCCAGTTTCTTGGACGGAAGTTAGCGAAGTTTACAAATTTCATAACGTTCTACCGTAGCCACAAGTTTTAATCGCCCCTTAACAACGTGGATTTTGGTTTTCAAGATCGCGTTAAACCGCACGAGATCTCTCCAATCGACGCGCAGTGGACCCGAATAATTTCGTGAAAATTACGTTTCATCGGCGCTCTTCTCGTACATGTCTTATTCTTCGCGTGGATCGTGTTCGAAAATCCTTCGCGGACGTGGCGAAGGCTCGATATTCTGAAGGATTCCTGGCGCGGAACTTTTTCGATTTATCATCGAGCGTTCCCCATGATGTGTTCGCGTTGCTGTGGTACGCCAACAACTTCGACGAGCAAATAGATTTCCCGATGCAAAGGGATTAAAAGTTCGTAGAAGAAAGTTGTGGTTACGGCTCGATAGCGGCAAGAGCGGCACCGAGAGATTCTCAAAAAAAATCGCTAACTGGAAACAAAGTCGCGAAATTCATAAAAAATTTTCATAAGAAGTTTCCGAACGCTTCGTCATAGTTCAAGTTCTTCCAAAGATTGCATTCAAGAATTTTAAAATTGTTCAAAACGAAGCATCGGAGAAATTGCTATGATCAAGCTGATTCTATGATAGCCGGACGAGTTTATTATGCGTATCCTGAATATAATAATTTCGCATCGGAAAATATTTACACAAAACGTTTCCTGTTTTAATACGAACTTAATCGACATCGATCGCCAAACGTCGACGAATGCGTTGTAAATCGCTACTGCAAAATGCATAAACTTCATGCATAAATGTAAAAAAGACAAGGAAACCGAGATTTGACGTTCAAAGCTAGATCCCTTCGCAGTTCCAAAAATGTTCAGCTGCTTTAAGAGTATACGGTAACTGCGGGACTTTCTCAGATCCGATCCAACCCGACAATATTCACACATTGCAGACGCATAAAGGGATCTAGCTCTCGGCGTCGAGTTTGCTCGAGTTCTCGCAACGGTGGAGTTTAACAGATTAGCCGAAACTTTTCTCCTCTAACTTTGAGCCTCGGTTCGAGCCTCTGAAGAACTCACGACCGCGATTTATTTCGAATGGAGCAGCGCCAACGAAGGAAAGAAATTAAATGTCCGATTTCCAACTCCTCGTCTACTCGTTACGCTCAAACATTTCGCGGCTGTATCGTAAATTGAGTTTAAAAGCACGCATCGCTAATTAATAGAACGTTACAGCTGGCGGAGGGTTGCGTGGAGGCTCGACCACGGGAAAATGAATCGGCAGGAAATTAAATGACGCAAAATGTAAAAGAAGCTGTACCATAGGGGGCTAGACTGTTCCACAAAGTGCTGTCCCGTGGGAAATTATAAATAGAAGGTAATACTCGGAACAGCATCGCTGCGTGCTAGCATCGCAGCAGCTAATATAAATAGTTAAACTTGCCTCGCCATTTGTACATTGGAGTCATCGTGCGCTTCACGCTACTTTGCAAGTAGTAATATTATTTTCAAAAACGTCAAAGGTCTCTTAACAGCCAACGCAAACGTAACGCTTGATTTACACATCGTCGATTCGGTATTCGCTTTGCAATATCTAACTCTCGGGAGTTCAATCATCGAGTCGCGCCGTCTGAATTCATGCGTAAATTTTATCAAGTTGACGTACTAGAACAGCTTTGTTGTGTCAGACAATGATAGGCTATTCGATACCTCTAGTCAATAATTCTCCTAGCACTAATATCAACCGAAGCAGAAATGAGAATATATTCCACACTCTAGCTAAATGTTCTCAGTTATACATTTATATAACGTATAATTTATATTACCGGTTAATTGCGAGTCAGTCGGCAATGAAGTCTAGAACGAGAGTGGCGTTAAATATTCGGGAATATTAATAACTAATCGTTCGAACTCGTAACGCCATGATGTAGTATCAAACGCAATCGTTGGGTAGCTGGAAACTTTTTACACCGTCAGGGATAAAATCCTCGAGAAATGGTGAGATGATGGATCAGCTGCCAAGGAAAAAATTACACGGCGAAGAAAGATGCGAAAAGTATGTAAGAACAAGTTGCAGGATCGGAAGAGAGATCCCGACCGAAGAAACGCAGGGGTCCCGAAGGAGAGAAGAAACAAAGTCGTAAACAACGCGGTAAAATCTTGCATCGTCGGAAAAGGAAGGATAACGCGGCCCGTTCTTTTTCGCGATGCTGGAGATGAAACCGGAAGCAATCTCTGAACTGTGGCGTTGAAGAGAGAGGGCGGGGAAAGAGGACGAGCAAGGTGTCTTGCACGCGTAAAGATCAGATTTACTTGGCCAGCATAGATGTACATCTCTGCCATAGTTGTTGACCTTACAGTCTTGCTCTCTGAAACGCTGCGCGTCGAGAACTTCCTGTGCACCCCGCGGTTCTGCTCTGAAATCTGAAGAAGGTGGAGTCAAACCTATAGGCGACGACTGGCATTATGCGGAATCATTCCTGAATCCTTTTAGCTCCCAGATTACTGGATCCTCGAGAGACTCTGTCCAGTAATCCTCTACGTTCGGTTCCACTATCAAAAAATTACGAGAGATTCCTATTCACTCGAAACGAGAAGGAATCTGGATTGCGAGTCGACGAAAAAGAAGACAATTACCTCAACGAGAGTTATAATATTTGTCAGGCATGCGTGCACCCAGTATTCGACGAAGAAGGCACTCGCTGTATAGATATTCGTTCCAGTATTCTGCCACGATAGTACAGGAAAGAAACGAAGTTTGGGTGAAAGCTTTGCAGTGGTTCAATCAAATCGAAAAGTTGATAAAACTTTATGTATCGTCCTCGATGGTTGAAAGGGACCAGTAAATTCGATGTCAGTCCATTGTTTTGTACTTCGAATTCCCGACGCAAAATGTGCACGGAACAAAAGTTTTACGGAAAGGGGAAAATTCGTCGAATTCCTGTACGACAACGGTGTTACTCCATTTCTTCATGGTTATTTCAAAACTGGCGAAAAAGGACGAAGCGAAAACGGTCGCATCTTTTGCGCTAAAGTTCGCTAATATAATTTGCAAGTTCCGCGAGACGCAATTAAGCATCCAGGGAAGCCGGATTAAGCGACTATCGTGACTAAATTTCCACGAAAAAAGTACGTTCGAGAATAATGCAAATTAGCGAACAGCCGACAGGAAGTAGCGACGCGTTCTTGTCGATTAAATAAGAGTGAAATTGTCAAGTGTACGGTTTAGGTAAAAACTAGATCTACGATTTTTTTTTATTTTTGTTCAAGAAGAATGAGTGTTTAATACACATTACACGACGCAATTTCGACGCGCGATAACGAGTACGAGTTCGCGCTGCCCGTTTCGATAACGTTGCGTGTCGTCTTTTCGAGAAAATCAGGGTTTTTCAGGTAAATCCGCGACAAATTCATTTACGAGCTGGACCGAATCCGATCTCGTTTGTTCGTCGACCGATGTCAAATTCAAATTGTCGCGCGTCTACGGCGGTTAGAGAAAAATTGGGAAAAATGGAAACAGTTTAGTTTGCAGGGAAAGCTAACAGTAACCGATAACGGATGACCTCTCTCTTCTCTGCTGTAGATTCGATTACCTTTAAGTATGTTCCAGCGAATTATTTCGGAACTCTCGTTAGGCCTACTAAATGGTCGTCACAGAAGCCTGTTGATCGTGGAATCTCGCGAATCCAATTTCTGCAAAAGTTTACTGCAAAAGGGCTAACAAGTGGAAACCAGTTAACTTCGATGCCAACCAATTATCCTCCGCCATTCGCGAAATTAATTTTAACGTTTTACCGCTGTCGGCAATGAATTTCAAACTGTCGTATTTTTATCGGCGCGCTTCAACGAATGAAACATTCGTTTATTGGATCCGAGATCTGTAAAAACTCGCTGATGGATAAACCGTATTCAAACACGCTACTACCGGTGGATCGATCGCGAAAACTTTCAACTCGAGCCCCCTTGCGAACAAATATGAATTGTAAGTGCGAGGACCGCAAAGTGAACGACCGAAAAGGCCTTTATCGACAAGAACCTTAGACTCTCGCAACTTCCCTGCGAATGAAATTCGTTAAAAGGCAATTTATTCAGCTCATTCGAGAGTACTTACTGTATATTATTCTATCGTGGTGTTTCCTTATTGTTTCATTTGCTTTAACCTCGTATTAAGGATACAAAAATATTCCACGTCAAAAAAACGAATTTTTAAACCTTAAATGGTAGCTATTCTCGTGTACGTTATGAAATTGAATTTAAAAGGGTAACATATTCGATGGTCGAGCAATCAATCGTTTGTTCGATAACAGAACAAACGTTTATGTTAATTGAAATTTTTCGAGCGAAAAAATAGTGTTCATCTACCCATAAGCATAAACAATACAAAGAAAATAAAATGAGAACGAATCATCCAAGTATAATGTGATAAAAACCACGTATAGAAACGTACTGCTAGCGAGGTAAAGGCAAAGAATTTAAATAAATCCTTTCTTCCGGAACAAAGAGCATCGAATCGAACCGTTGGTTCGAATCGTGTAAAGGAACAAATCGATTGGTAGAATCGATTACCGGAGGAATCAGTAACCGAGACATTTCTCCATTATTGTTTCAGTTACTGGGACCGCTGCGGAAGGCACACGCGAGACGGAGAAGTCACTGCGGAGTACGTACGACACACGACGGACCAGCAGATCATTTCCTTGGTCGTCCACCAGCACGGATCGTAGCATGGGAGTGGCCAGATTCATCGGAAAGTTTCGTCAAACAACTTCCTGGCACGCGGAAAACTCGAGTCCGAGCTCGAGGGAGCGGGTCGCGCTCGAGTTCCTAGAGCTGGTCAGCGAGGCTCCAGCAGAGGAGATGGCGGAGGAGGAGATCCAGATGCAGGGCATCGAAACGTTGTCGGGAAAGGAGAATGACGCGGAAAAAGTGAAAATCTCGTGCGAAAATGCGACCCTGTCCTCGAGGAGTACGCTTGACACGAGGCAGAAGATAAATCTATCCGCTGGCCGGACGTTTATCCAATCAACGACAGACGGATCGAGCTTCGAGGAAAACGTTCTCCCCGCCAGAAGTTTTGATAACGTAAGTCGAGTGACACATCTCTGTTCGGTTATTGGACGTCTGGAAAACGCGTGTATTCGATTGACGAAACTTTTTCGCGAAACTAATTCGTATCGAACCAGTGGGACGGACTGAAAATAAGGTAGCTATCTCAAAGGGTCCCAAGTAACATGCATAGGATATAGAAGACGTGTAGTCGGCTTAAAAAACAAATTCTCGATGCTACCTTATTTTTCAGCTCGTCACCCTGTCGTAGCCTGTTAACGTTTTTAATTCGACCTGCAATCGATATTCGATAATGGAACACGAACGGATTAACGAAGTCCCGTATGTCGATATCCAAGACTTAACTAAGCAAACAGCAGAAGCAAAAGAAGCGCGGCTGAATTGATTCACAAGGGCGTGCAGTAACGCAATAATGGTCGCGATAGATTTTCCATGTATCCAATAATTTCGTAGCGGGGCGATGCCTATAATTTAACGGTATCGCGATACCAGTTGCCCAGGGCGTCGTTGGCCTCTCATTTAATTAACGACCAGACACCTGTGTATCGGAGGATTATTGCTCATCGATCGTATAAATTCTCGATTCTGTCAAGCTGAAGTTAATACCGGGCGGTTTCTCTTCTCGTTTTAGACCATCGAAAGTTGTGAAATTAACCAAAGAAAAATGAATCAACATGTCTTCAAAAAAAAAAAAAAAAAAAATAGTTCGCTATTTATCCTCTTAGGTTTTACCTTCTTTTAATTATCACGTGAATTTCAACTGTTTGCAGATAGTGCCGTCGAACGAGACCCGGTTGCAGCACAAGCAAATCTCGAAAGAACCGACTGTCTCCACAACCCCGACGACCTTTGTCCTCAGCGACGTTGTACGCCGTCAGATGAGGCACGTTCCAGACGTCTGCGAAAAGTTCAGTATCGGGGACGAGATCAAGAAAGAATTTTACAGCCCCAACTATCCGGATAACTATCCCAATCTTACCGAGTGCGTCAGAGTTCTGGAAGGTGAGCGAGCTATGTTTCCCTATGCGCGACATGCAACACCGCAAACGTCGAACAAACACCTGAAAAACATGAAAATGTAACTTCCTTGATCTTTCCAAATTAAATGTCCTCGTTTATCTTTTCCGTTCATGCGGGTTACTTTATAAACAAAATCTTGAAGAAAAATCTCCGCACGAGAATTTTAACGGGAAAACGAGAGATCGAGAAGAGGGAGAATCTTCAACAGACTCCCTGTCCTTTGCAACACATCCAAAAGCACGTATGAATATGTAAAATGCACAACGGGGAAAGTACCATTCCGCTACGATTCGTTCAAACAAAAAGTCTCATTTCGAGCGCGACGAACCTGGATGCTATATAGCTGAATGTAAATCCCTTATGAAAACGAATTTTCGCTTATCTATTTAACTCGCGGAATTAATTCGACGCAAGAGGTGTTCGGCACGTCGCAGTTCGCGGTTGATATTCCAGTGGTTTCGTACGTACAAGTTCGTCGTAACTTCCTAAACTCGGCCGAACTTCGAAAAGGGGTAGAACGGTCGCGCGTCGTCGTGATTGATACACCCCGGTGGTTGCGTTCGGTTTTGACAAGGATCCAGTAGCCTGCAAATCCTCCCGTTCGCCGATACAATGCATTCGTGCGCGTCACTGGCTCGAAAGAAACGCCTAAGTTTTTCGCCGCATCCTGTTTTCGCTGACAAACAGGTCCACGAGCACCGACTTCACAATAAACTGCGGATAAGGAATCGATAAACATTTCCACTCGGTTTCGATGTTCCACCGATATACATTGCGATCGATAAAATGAAATATAAATTTTGTGTACAAATTAGAAATGCAAATTTCGTTCACGTGAATTTTTCAACAAACAAGCACGGCGAATTATAATGCCGGCGGCCGTGTCTCGTCTCGTACCGATTGCTTATAAAGAGGTCATTACGATTCGCGAGGAACGAGCAACCATCTCCGTGTTCGGTCCTGGTCGCATTCCGCGTACGAACCTGTCCCCTTTTTCTGCACCCGGAATTCCCGGCGGCGCGAGAAGAGTAATTGCATAAAACGTCGGCGATCGGTGCTCGGAGCGATAAATCATGATGTTCCGTGTCCTTTCGCCCTGACCGTGGTCCCCTCCAACTAGATGCTTCGATAACGTATCGATAAATCTAGGAGGACGACCGTTTTCGAACGTCGCTACGGAGATTCGTCCGAAAGGACTCGTGAAACCTTCGATACGTTCCCTGTCACGCTGTTTTCGATCAAAATCGTCCCGCGTAACTCTGCAGCTTACGAAAAATTGTTGGATTCCAGGCGGATACAACCATACCCATGAACGATAATTTGAATATTAACAAATTTAACGACGGTGTTCTCGGTAGGAAAATGATAATGCAAGGGCTGAGAAAGGTCTGAAACAAATGTGTTTGTAGCTCGAGGCGTATGTGGTCTTAACCCTCTGGAAGAAGATAAAAAGGGTGAGAACAAAACGAGACGCGTGTTTCCACTCGACGGTCTTTTTAGCTGTGCGAACGTCTCGAAAGGCGACGGATTGAGCAAACGAGGGCAGCAGGGTCGCGTTCGAAATTGAGTCAGGGTCGACGAGCCGCGGACCGTGTACACCGAATCTTCTTCTGATGTACGAAAATAGTACCGACGGTGATTGCTGGTCCTCGGCCGAGTTTTGGAAACGATAGGCTCGACCGACGCAGACGCGACTGTTTTCATCGCGCGAGGTCGTGAAACTTCCCGAGGTCTACCAGTAGTTAATCATCGAAGAAAACACTGTCAACGGAATTGTGTCTCGTAGACGATGCAACCGTTTCGCATTCTTCGTCTCGGAGCTAGACAATTTACGTGGATGTAAACAACTAGGAACAGAGCACGATCGACGCGTTAACGACGTGGTAAGTAGTGCAGATATCGTGGCTGTCCAACGATGCTTTCCTTTTACGAACCCGACCGAGAAAATGACGTGCAATGTTTCCACGACTCGTAGCGTAGGCTGACGCGCGAGTTCTCTTGGATAGAACCAAAGTGGGACGATTTAATATAAGTATCGCAACGGAGCGTCGTAAACCAACGGTATTGGATGTCGCGGTTGAATAAATTCGAATCGAATCCCTTGTAAATCATACGCAGCTGGTATCGATGTAAGCCGACATACCTTATTTCCTTTCCAAGCGTCTCACTCGTGTTACGTGGTATTGCCTCGGATTTGCATGGTGAAGCTCGTCGTGGACTACGGACGTCGAAAAGTACAGCTGGTTAGGTCAGCGTTTCTCAACCTTCTTCGACTCGTGATCCACCCCCATGTACCGTTCATCTCTGCAACCTCCTACCCCCTCGTAATCGCTATCAAATTGTTAAAAGCGGAACATACTTGCCACAATCCACTCAGAAATTTTCGTGTCTCCACATTTATGTATCTTTTCCCCGGGTACTCCCTGCCTCGAGAATCACTGGGTTTAACCACCGCAACGCGAGCTGAATACGTTTAAGGATGTATCTCGATGATAATACTCTTTCCGTTGCTCGTCTCGGGTCGCTGATAAGGATACAGAACACCGCAATTGGCTCCTAACTGATAAGAGAGTGTGTGCTTCGCAACGAATTGGCTGCTTAACGTTTTGTATAAAGAGGGCCGCATCGTGCAACGCGAACGAACACCGAGGTCTAAATCGAGCGCTTGGTGAAACGCTGAAGAGCTGTACCTGCCTACGGATACACTGGGTGCTTCTTATAAAAGTACCGATATAATTTTACGCGACGATTCGAAATGTAATAAAGTGTACGATTAAGAAACCGTGTTTGAACAAAGTGTTTGGACAATGGATTCCTCCAAGGACGCGGTTAAGCCCCATCGCGTGCGACGAACAACAGACTACAACTGTGTGGTAGTTAAACGGACTGGTCTGTCAGTGCATCATACCCGCCATTACATCGAGCGAGGTGATTATGGCATATTAAGCGCCCCATGTGAATTACGTCACCCAATTATCCGGACGTCAATATGGGCATGGTAGGGATTAAGGAAGTTTCGCCCTGAACGCGATCGAGGTAAACCCCTGCACACCGGATTGTTCCAAATTACACAAATTGCCTGCTGTTAAGACTCCCACACGTTCTGTCTGTACCCTCGTTTCGAAATTCGAGGGTAATTTCTGTACCCCTATTGTCGCTTTCGAGCATCATTCTCGCGGTCCTTTGCCGCTCGTTCTGACGATTTCTTACGTTGCCGTGACGAGAACTCGTTAAACTCGTCGTTCGAAACTTGGTTCGCGGCAACGCTGTTAGTATGATCGTTGAAAGTTTTCGAGGATAATCCAGCTTTTGTAAAGGTCACTGTTCCAATAACGTTTTCGGTTAGGTGTCCTAGCAAACGATGGCAGACCGTGTCCGATCAAAGTTTAATTGGAACAATTCGAAGTTTCGCGGCATGCGAAGACAAAATCGCTCGGAGCTAGAGGATCCGTCCGCGCAGTTTCGTGTTTGGCCGAAATTGCCAGCGAATTGATGAACGTGCGAGCTAGAAGACTGCCCAATCCCGGGGTTGATACAACAGAGATAGCAATCGTTGCTGGATTGGAACCGGTACCACCTACGCCAGTGATTCTCAAACTCCATTTCCGCGATTTTCCGCGACGAAGGCGTATTTTTCAAACATCCCTTCGATATACAAGTGAAATTCAATTTTTTATTCTTTCGATATAATTTGGAAGTCGAAACACTATTTCCTCTCACTTTCGAATGTAGTTTACCTCAAGGGAGCAGGTAACAGTTCGCGTTTGGAGAGATTCGTGAGTTTTGAACGGAATTGCGACTGTCCCGGGGATGGGGTTATCCGGCTTCGAGGGATCGCTGGACTGTAAACTACAGATTCTCTCAGTACCCAGGCAAGTTCGTCGAAACCGTGGAAAGTGGAACAGAAGCGAGCTCAATGGATCGACGCGGCTGTATAACCTCAGCTGGGGGTAGCGTCTTCCATTTTACTTCTTTCTTTTCAGGGAGCTGGTTGATCGTGGAGCACGCGAACGGGCCAAGTTGCCCCTTCCGAGCCCCACGTCGGAAGGTCCTAATTGCACGAATGGAACCCTTTTTAATTGCTCGCTCGTGAGCACGATAACGCCGTTACAGAGGTATCATTATGAAATGTGGGACACTTTTAAGCAGCCCGAGCCACTCAGGCACGTTAATGAGATCACAGTTGGTTGGAGGCTGGATAAGCATTCGCTGGATGAAACGCGATCGAACTCGGCGTACACGCTTGCCCCTTCCCCCCCCCCCCCCCCTGCAACCCCTGGATTCCATTTCGGTACGGTAACGAAGAAAACGGAACCCGTGGAACGGCAGTTCGTTAAACGGGTGCGCTTCATCTCCCACGAGGATCGGGGCGGTAACGAGACGAATAGACGCAACTTCTTTTCTAATTATTCGTAGAATACCCCTCTCCTAGGTGGACGATCAAGGCCGTGAAGTTCATGCTCGACGACGGTAATGGATGGTATAGTTTATAATGCCGCACGGTTTACCGATGACAGAGCCTGTGAATTATTAGCCTAATCCGCGAGATTGCCGTCGACGTTACCAACGATCAGTTCCGAGCAGATACTGGCGAAAGTTCGTTCGTATAATCGCTAACAAATAAAGCCAAGCTAGCATAAATCGAACCACACCTCCGTTTTACCTTTTTCATTTCGATTCATTTCTTCTTTCTTGTAAAGGCATTGAAGTACGAAAAACTTGGCCGTGACACCAAGGTTAATCCAATGATTATAATTCATACGTTCGTAGAATTTTTCGCGAACGAAGTAGCTCGGTACCCTTTCATTCCTTGGCCCTTTTCATCACCCCGTTACCCGCGGCTACCAATTCACCGCTATCGCCGGCAGTCGCAATTTAAGGCGTGTCGTCGGACTCCGGATTTCTTACTCCTGCTAAGACCCACGTTTCACTCGACGAGTTGCGAACTCGCAATCAAAACTTTTCCTACCACTGTACGACGC